CTAAAAACACATAATTCTTGTTTTCTCTCGGTTGCAATTGAACAGGGTCGACTATCAATCAAAATTATTATTAACCCGCTTTTACATAATGGGTTAGCCCAAAAAGGTTGGGGTGGGGTGGCTTGAAATCTCGACCCTAATTTTAAGGCCCAAATCGCATTTAAAACTGGAGTTTGTCAGTAGCAACATCATTGGTATGACCGAAGGAAATGGTCTATGTTCTCTGTTAGACTTAAGAAAATACTTGCAGCAATTCAGTATTACTGAAGATTCGATACGTCATTATTAAAACTCAGAAAAAATAATTCACCTAATGATATTAATTTTATCTTCCTTCATTACTAATATCACCCGAATCTCACTTTTTTTCTAATTTAAATATAAAAATACATAATATGAAAAAGAAAAAATATTTGTTGTTTTAAATAACACAAGTTGTGTTATTTCACTCTCACGAAAAGGTAATATCCACATATTTATTTATTTTTTGTCTACTTTTTTTCCATGATCTATTTTTTCTCTCACATAAAATAACATAATGTTATATTTTTTAAAACGATATATATATTTCACATATGAAAAAGTGAAAAAACATTGAAAATATGCTTGGTCCCTAGATTCGAGGAACTATCGTTTTGTCAAGGTTGAAATGATGGCATGTCATATATGTATAACAAATTTTTATTTTAGTTATTCAAAAATATAATTTATTTATAATTTAAAAAATATAAATTATTAAATTAGTTATTAAAATATAAAATTTGCAGATTGTCCTCTTAATTTATTTTAGTTTTATGCTATATATTTTAAAAATTGTTACATAACATTAAAGGATAATATGACAAATGCAAAACCCAATACACAAATAACTGATGTTGGTGACTGGTGAGGATGTGAGGTTTTACGTTGGTAAGTTTATACCCATGAAAATGTATGATGGGCCCATAAATTTTTGATCCATTCTTTGGGGTTGGGCCACGGCGAGTTAACGCGTGTACGCCTGTATCATGTTTTGTTTCTTCTCCGTTGTTGATGTTCAAAGAATCAAAGTACGTAAAAGAATATAGAAGCCATGGACCAGTACCACATGTTATTACGACTTGTGTTTGAGTTAGAGAGTAACGGAAGCACACAAGCCCAACTTGCGTGTAGTTTTCAGCATGTTGGTTAATTTTCTTGCTACTGTCTTGGATGAATAATGTTACAAAATAAGGCAATGCCTTAAAGTGGAGAAAACGAATAAATGTAATCGGATTTGGCTCAATCCAATGGGAGAGTGACCATTTTGACACATCTGGCAAAAAAATTTACACACGTAAACAGTAAATTTTTCCAAAATATCACGCGGTATATTTTGCTATACTATGTAGCGAAATATATTTGCATATAATTCGCAACATAGTGTAGCGAAATATGCCATGTCAGGCTGCACAGTCAGCAAAAATGACACGTGTTAAGCAGATAATTCGCTACACAGTGTAGCGAATTTCTGCCTGCTTAACACGTGTCATTTTTGCTGACTGTGCAGCTTGACATGGCATATTTCGCTACACTGTGTAGCGAATTATATGCAAATACATTTTGCTACACAGTGTAACGAAATATGCCGCGTGACATTTTAGAAAAAATTATTGTTGACATGACAGTCTAATAAATTTTTTTGCCAGACGTGACAAAATGGTCACTGTTCCCAATCCAATCTAATAATATATGATAAAAGGTTACGTGCTCCCCGAATATTAAATATAGGGTGCACATGTTATGTTACAAAAGAATGATTTTATAAGATTCCAATAAGAGAACTTATAAAAAAAAAAAAAAAAGATAGTTGGTTGGCAGAGTTGGAAGTATGCGAAGGAGTTCCCCAACCCCACCAATGAGTCAAATATAGACTTTTTATTATTATTAATTTTATAAATTCTTTTTTAGAAGAAAAAAAATAATATAAGGGAAAAATATTTTTCATTTTAAATAACTAAATTTTATGTCATGTTAGATGAAATAATGTTGTTTTAATATGTATTTAGTTATTTTTTATCTTCTCTCCTCTCTAAACTTAGGAAGTGAGAGAAACTGGAGAAGAGATAATATAAAAAATATTAATTATGTATTAAAATAACATCATTTATTTAAAATAACAATCATTTACAATGACAAATATTTTTCACAGTAGAATAAATAATATAATTTGTTTCAACTAATATGATTAATATCGTCGGAAAAAATGTTGAGTGTGAATTTTGCAGGTAATACATCATTAACAAATTATTTACAAATATCTTGACAAGCCATATCGCTCAAACTTAAGCATGACATGACTTTATAACAAAATAACCTCCCACGCCTTGAAAATCTTAATATAGAAAAAGTAAAATAAAATAAATACAGTTCGTAGCAAGCACGGCTTTGAGCTTCCCAATTCCCTCCATCACATTCCGAGAAAGCCTAGAAGACTCAAAACTTTTGGATTCTAGGAAAACAACATTAAGGTGGTGTGCTTTGAACAGAAAATTGAATTAACATGAAACTATATGCTAAAAATTTAGATATTACAAATCGTTTTCAGTTTACCATTTGGGGTTTATGCGTTTCTCTTTTCTCATGTTATATGAGATAACATTTCTCATGTTACAGACATAACAAGTTGTAGGTCTCATCACTTGTTAAAAAAATAAAAAAATAATAAAAAGATAGCAGGATTTCGATACCTCACAACACGAGAAAACAATCTCGAACAACATGAGAAAATGATTTTCCTTAAAGAAATCAAACCAAACACGTTGTTGTATATTAATATAACACGTGTTTATTCATCGACACGATTTTGTCTTACCCGCACATTAGTTCATTACGCAAAGATGAGCTGGCCTGAAACTTCATGCAAGAGTTGTCAAAGACAAAGTATGACCTACGGGATGAATTTTCTCAGGTTTGTTTCTTAACATGAATATATAATATGTTAAATTTCAGTTATTCATTGAGAATATTAAAATGTTAATGATAGAACTTAAAAAATAAGAAAGGTGAAAATGTTCATTTTAATTATTCATCATTAATCTATCAATGAATGATTATGATCTTTCCAGTTATGTCCATCAACAAACATTGTGCATTTGTGCACTCACAAATAAAAGACACCACCCAAGTGTGGTGGGTAACATGGGGACTGAGTTGTGGGAGAGGATCTCGGTTCGAATTCCACCAACACCATCTGGAAGGGGCATAATTATCGTAATTTTTGGACTCGCACCCGAACTCTGGATTAGTTCCATAGGCGGCTCAAAAAGTCGAACCCGTGAGAATATCGAGAAATTCTGATTTACCTCAAAAAGATAATTAACATCAGTTTCTAAAAAAAAAAAAAAAAGACACCAAATTGTAATCTTCAAAAATAATAAAAATGTTACTAACGATCCACATTTATAGACGTTGAAATACTTCACTCTTCAATTAGTCAATGATTGTTTATGGCTTGATAATAGAGTTTGCAAATCAATTAGTCTTTGCACAGTGCTGAAGTTGTTCATTTAGTGACAACTTGGCTAGTGATAGTGTAGAGGCAAAGCGCCTTTTGGTTGGCCACTCCGTGAATAACACTCGTTCACGTTCCAAGGTTTTGGATCGCACACGTAACTCTCAAAATTCCATGCATGTGATTTGTGAAACTTAGAAAAATATCTCGAGGGCATTTCATCATTGGTGGCAGATAGGGATATTTTAGGAAATGAGCTTGAAAATTTCAGATCCTACATATGCTATTTTCCCTTTGCCTGACCATTTCCCTTTTCCCATGTATTTTTTTTAATAATTAACTTAGGAAAAAATATTTATCATTTAAAATAACATAACTTATTTCATTTCATTTTCACAAAAAGGTGAGACTCACACTTTTTTTTTGTCTACTTTTCTTTTTCATGATTTATCTCTTTCTCTTACTTAAAATGACATGATTTTACATCCCTTAAAATAATACACACTTTATCCATTAATTTAACTTACGGCCTGAGTTGAATCAATATTGAAGTATTAACATGGATATGTTGATTTTAAAAATATTAGATAGCGATATATGACATATTTTAATATTAAATAATATTTTAAATTTATATAATATATATTTATATTTTATATTTTTTTATAAAATTAATGAATATTATGAATTTAGTTTATTTTTTTAAATTAACTTCAATAAAATTTATTCAGTATTTCTTTTTAATTTTTATTATATTAATTTAATAAAATATTGATAAATTTTTTCAAGATATTTAATAAAATTTCAAATCTTATATATATAAAAAATATCAAAATGTTGAGGTGTCACGACCTATGTTGCACTGACACCGATAGGGGATACGAGATACGACACGACACTCCGACACGTTAATTTTAAAAAATGTTAAATTCGACACGTAAGGACACGTTTTGATATTATATAATATTTTTAATTTATGTAGTGTACATTATATTTAGTATTCAATAATTTAACAAAAAATAAAGCTAAACTTATAACACTCATCAATTTTACAAAGAAACATAATATATTCAAAATATTTATATTAAACTCAATAAAATCATAATATAACGAAACTAATAGTTGGAACTCAATGCAAGGCAACGTAACCTTTTAATCTTTTTTGAGTCTTTATTGGAATGTTGAAAAATATCAGAGTACGATGATGAGTGTCAAAAAATATCAAATACGACACATTAGTACACATCAGAATTTTTGAAGTGTCGATACTTTTCAAGACGCTTCAAATATTTTTTGAAGTGCGGTGAAACATAGCTTACAGCTTCAACACAATTCCATTTGTATTTAACGGATTGAAAAAAACCTGGTTCGTATTGAACGTAAAACTCACTTTTTTTTTTTAACCAAAAGAATATTATTTTTTATTTTATTTTTGTTGTCTTCTTCAAACCTTTTGAGGGTTTAATAGCTTATGTGAGATATAAAAGTAAGCGATGTTTGAATGTGCTGCATCATTTTGAGAAGACAATATTCTCTAATCTCGACTCTTGTCTCTGTCTCTCTCTTTATGTTCTGAGAGAGAGAGTCATGGAGGCTGTTCTTCAGACCAAAGGGCTTCTCTCTCTCCCTACAAACCCCAGGAACAGGCTTTTGCATCCATCCCAGGGCTTAAAGCACAGATTTTTATCACTAAACCCCCAAACCCTTGGTGGGTCTTCTCTAACTGCCAATGGATTCCAAAAACTCCATTGTTTTGCATCAAAAGCTAATGCCTTTGATCACAAGAATAAAAATTTGTTCATCTGCAGGGCTGAAGCTGCTGCTGCTGCTGATGGACAACCATTATTTGAGGAAATTGAGGTTGAGAAACCAAAGTTCTTGGGTATTGAGGTTACCACCTTCAAGAAGATTATACCTTTGGGGATGATGTTCTTTTGCATACTCTTTAACTATACGATTCTAAGAGACACAAAGGATGTTCTGGTTGTAACAGCAAGAGGAAGCAGTGCAGAGATTATACCGTTTCTCAAAACATGGGTGAACCTTCCCATGGCTGTTGGGTTCATGTTGTTGTACACAAAATTGGCTAATGTTTTGTCCAAGCAAGCTCTCTTCTACACTGTTATTCTCCCCTTCATTGCTTTCTTTGGTGCGTTCGGGTTTGTTTTATACCCTCTCAGCAACTATATCCACCCTCAGGCATTTACGGACAAGCTCCTCAACATCCTTGGACCAAGGTTCCTCGGTCCACTTGCAATTGTGAGAATTTGGAGCTTCTGTTTGTTCTATGTCATGGCTGAATTGTGGGGGAGTGTGGTCATTTCCGTCCTGTTTTGGGGGTTTGCTAATCAGGTAATTTGTTATTTTTTTGTTTTTTTATGAACTGATTTTGTTACTTGCTTTGTTCTTTGATCCTGTTTAAGTATATGTTGGTATCAGGTTATGATTTTTAATTCTGGTGTCTTAAACATGTCTTCTTAATCATCTTTGTTGGGTATCTTACTATTCCTACATGAGCATATTCCATTTACTGCTTGAACCTGGGTCGGGGGAATTTATATATGGTTGCTCATCAATCATCATCATTATTGGCTATTGGTTTCTCTTACTTTTCATTTTTTCCTTATTTGTACGCTGGTTTTGATTCTTTTTCTTCAATCCATACAAAGTTTTCAGTGTTGTGTCTGATTTTCTGAGTTTGTTCAGAGGAGTGGATGCTTTTTGCTTTCCATCGCCCTATTCTAGTATTCTCTTGATGTCAAACTGGTAGGACTGAGTTTCATGAATAGAAATGGCATGTTGATTCATGCATGGATTTGAAGTTTGAAACAGAAAAGTGAAAACTTTCTTGATGGAGAAGCGTCAAGCATTAATAATGTTGTTAGAGAGATATAATATAAAATCATTGAAGGGTTGTCATTTACAAGCTTGAGCTGTTGGGTGAGATGGTTGCTTATAAATATCCACACTTTAAGTTCAAAGGGCTCTTGCGTGAGGAGTTGTGTTAGAGAGATATAATATAAAACCATTAAAGTCCATCACTTACAAGTTTGAGCTGTTGGGTGAAATGGTTGCTTATTAAGTGTCCTATTATTATTATTATTATTATTATTATTTTCTATAGTGTAGTTTACTGGCATTATTTAGTCATTCTTTATTTTTCTTTTGGGACAATGAAATTCTGTAGTCATTTTCTATATAATAATCTGGGTCAAAAATGTTCAGAATTGACACAACAGTTGTGAATTCCATGCGACTCTGGTAAAACACTAATGATGGCTGTTAGTTGCTTGTTTTATTTGCAATACTATTCGTCAACTCTAACACAATTAGAATTCTATCATGTGATGGCAGGGCAAAATGTTGCATCCATTTTTATGTTCTCCGATTTTGAACTGTTTAATTCAATCAACATAGTAAAATGAATCAATTTTAGAATTGTAATGAATATAAAAAATATGTATATGATTTTATGAGTTTTTTCTTCTTCTTCTTCTAGGAAAATCTAATACCCCTGTTTTTTTTTTGCTGCAGATAACTACTGTCGAGGAAGCAAAACGATTCTACCCACTATTTGGACTTGGGGCCAATGTAGCCCTTGTGTTCTCTGGCCGGACGGTGAAATACTTTTCTAATCTGAGGAAGAATTTAGGTCCTGGAGTTGATGGTTGGGCCATCTCTCTAAAAGGAATGATGAGCATAGTTGTGCTTATGGGGTTTGCAATCTGTTTCCTGTACTGGTGGGTGAATAATTTTGTTCCTCTTCCTACACGTAGCAAGAAGAAGAAGGTAATTTCTTGAAAGGCAGATATATATACCATTCCCCTCTGTCTTTTTTTTTTTTTTTTGGTTCCACTGCCTATATATTTTTGAAGTTGTTTTATATTTGAAAAAATTGAATTTTTAATCTAATATTTAAATGAGGTATCATGCCTGTCTTATGGTTGGTTTACTTACAGGTAAAATGTGTATATGACATTGTCCTTACAGCTATTATGGAAATTCTGAAACTTTAGTTTTTTGGTATTTGAATTAAGTTAACTGACATTTTCCTTACTGTGCATTTTTACAGGAGAAGCCCAAAATGGGAACAATGGAGAGCTTGAAGTTCTTGGTGTCTTCAAGGTACATTAGAGATCTTGCCACTTTAGTGGTTGCTTATGGAATTAGCATTAATCTTGTTGAGGTTACATGGAAGTCTAAGCTCAAAGCTCAGGTAATGTACAAAGAAGTTGCATTTATCTTTAGTTTTGGTTTTATAACTGGCTATTTCACTCTGCACGTTTTCTCTCTCTCACAAACCTCTACAAAACTGCAGTTTCCTAGCCCTAATGAGTACTCTTCTTTTATGGGCGACTTCTCGACCGCAACTGGAATTGCAACATTCACAATGATGCTTGTGAGCCAATTTATATTTGACAAATATGGATGGGGAGTTGCTGCAAAGATCACACCAACGGTTCTGCTTTTGACAGGAGTTGGTTTCTTTTCTCTTATATTGTTTGGAGACCCACTTGCACCTGGTCTTGCAAAGTTTGGAATAACTCCACTACTAGCAGCTGTATACGTAGGTGCCATGCAGAACATATTCAGTAAGAGTGCTAAGTACAGCTTATTTGACCCCTGCAAAGAAATGGCCTACATTCCCTTGGATGAGGACACCAAGGTTTGGATTCTTATCTGCTTCTCCATCATGTTTACACTAAATTGACCTGAAACATTCAGTGGACTATAATTGTATAAATTTCATAAACCTGAAATTGTGCCAAAGTTTTTTTACAGTTCTTTTTTAATTAGATCCTAGAAATCTTGCTGCTGTACCACTTTTATTGAACTTGCTTTACATTATTTGTTGTAGGTTAAAGGAAAGGCAGCCATTGATGTTGTGTGCAACCCATTAGGGAAGTCAGGAGGTGCCCTTATTCAGCAATTTATGATATTAACTTTTGGTTCTCTAGCTAACTCAACACCATACCTTGGAGGGGTGCTTCTGGTGATTGTTCTTGCATGGCTAGCAGCTGCCAAGTCCTTGGATACCCAGTTTACTGCATTGCGTCAGGAGGAAGAACTTGAGAAAGAGATGGAAAGAGCATCTGCTGTTAAGATACCATTGGTGGCTGAGAATGAGGGTGGAAATGGTTCTCTTGCAAGTGGTTCACCATTAAATCCAGCAGCAGGTGATTCCTCAAGTAGTCCATCAGAGGCCTCAACTCCTCGCAAAAATATTTAAAAAACATGCTTCTTTCTGTCAAATTCCCATGCAGAAAGAATGAGTAGAACTCTTGAGAGCAGTGTTATTAGGTGAAACTATTTGTTGTAGGTTACTACTAAGCTTATAGAATAAGTTTGCTAGCTACTTTTGTGGAGTCCCAATATATTTTTTCTTTGGCCCCTATAGAAAGGTTTGCTTCTTATTACCAAGGTTTACTGTTTTGGTGAACACATTTTTTGTTCTATATAGTAGATAGAACTTGTTTGTAATCTGTATTTATAGTATATCTCTTGAATGGGTTGATCAGGGCTTTGAGGGCTAAATCTTAAAATGGGCTTTGCTTTGATTTTGAGCTCTATGAGACCCTTGCAGACTTGAAGTCCATGACTTCAAATTTCATTTTTGACTCCTACGGCTACCAGTTTCGGTTTACGGTTAAACCATCATGGGATGGGCTGGGATGGGATGGGATGGGCCTGGATCAAACAAAATAATAAATGCAGGGGACCAGTTTCACTCAGAGCTTCTCTTGTCCGCTTCAAAACTGACAAATAAGGATGCTCACGAGCTTGGGTTAGCCTGTAACGTTGTGATGCACTGATGCAATACACAATTTTTTCTTTTCCTACTTTAACATAACTTTAGTATTTTATTTTTGGATATTTTAAGGAGGTTGAACTGGACTTGAGGGTGAATGTAAAATGGGAATGTGTGACCAGTAAGGACAGTTTAGTTAATTGACTTTTTACGTACTAGTTGAGTTTAAATTTATAAAGATTTCCTATTATTAGCCTATGAGTAATTTTTTTATTACTTGATGTTAGTAGTTTATACTTTGTAGTTTGGCTTGATTTTAAAATCATAGCAAAGGTGATGTTTGGGATAGAATCTCTACTACATTTATGTAATGTAAGTATGGCTTTATAAATAAAACAAACAAGTTCCTGGTACTGGGAAAGAATCCGTTTATAATTTTTTTTTTACAAATTACACTAAGTATGATTGGTCATACACTCTTGATTAGTGTATGGCCGGTCAGACATAGTGTAATTTCTAAAAGTTTGTAAATATAACTTTCCCCAATGGTATTTTGCACAAGTAATTTGGGAAAAAGTCCAAATTCCTGATGCAATACATGAGAGAGAGAGAACAAAGGAGTCTGTTTCAAGTGCATTAAAAGTTTGAGGGTGCTTTAATTAATTTTGTTCTTCATCTAGAGCATAGGAGGATATGAGCAATATGGTCTGTTGTCTGACATAAGGAGAGAATAAACAGTTGTATGAGTGGTCCTACTCCTATCTCAACAAAATCCATATCCATCCTCCTCATTCCTAGCTTCATCTGCTTATGAAAATCTCATTTCTAAAACAAGGTCAAAAGAGTAAGTCTGATACTTTTAGCCTAGTTTATAATGCAACATGTCCAAGACAGCTACTACACAGCAACCTATTGCTTCTCTCTCTCTACTTGAGTTTCTCACTGAAATGAAGAGGCAATCCTACACAGAAACAGTCACTCTACCAGCAAAATCTCCATCCCAATTATCCTCTGAATGCTGGTTTGACGATGCATGCATACTAGACATGGATTACTTTGTCAAGACCCTTTCTGGCATTAAGGCCAAAGGTGTTCGTGCTGATTTGATTGGTTCCATTATCACACACTATGCTTCCAAATGGCTCCCTGACCTCTCTGCAGGTGACATGGCTGGAAAGGGTCTTACCCAATTCGAAGAATCACCTGAAAGTGTCACAGTTTCATGGATGAAGAAGAGGTTCTTTGTAGAAACCTTAGTTGGTGTTCTGCCTACTGAGAAGGATTCCATCCCATGCAACTTCCTCCTTCGCCTTCTTAGAAAGGCCAACATGGTTTGTGTTGATGCCACTTATAGAGAAGAGCTTGAGAAGCGTATTTCATGGCAGCTAGACCAAGCTTCATTGAAAGAGCTTGTTATTCCTTCTTTCAGTCACACTTGTGGGACTCTATTAGATGTTGAGTTGGTCATTAGGTTGGTTAAGGGGTTTGTGAGTTTGGATAGTGAGGGAGCTAAGAGTGGTGCTGCTTTGGTTAAGGTGGCAAAGTTGGTTGATTGCTACCTCGCTGAAGCTGCTGTGGATGCCAAATTGAGCTTGTCTGAGTTCGTTACTCTTGCTGGAGCTCTTCCAAGCCATGCAAGAGCAACAGATGATGGACTGTACAGAGCCATTGATACTTATCTAAAAGTATATATGTCTTAATATTTTCAAAGTTTCAATTTGGTTATTTATTGCTAGATTTTATTAATTCCTTTCTAACTTTGGCTTTGTGTAATAGGCACATCCAGGGGTGTCAAAGCAAGAAAGGAAGGGTCTGTGTAGGCTAATTGATAGCCGAAAACTAACACAAGAGGCATCACTTCATGCAGCTCATAATGAACGCTTCCCAGTTAGAGCTGTGATTCAAGTGCTTCTCTCTGAACAAATCAAACTCAATCGCCACCTCGATTGGAGTGGCTCCATCACCAGTAGTACTAGAAGCCCAAATGGTGGGTTTGATGCACCAACAAGGTGTCTTTCTAAACGTGAAATAAATGCTCAACAAGTGGAGATAAAGAAGCTGAAGGAAGAACTGTACATGCTGCAAAACCAGTGTAACACAATGCAAGTGCAGATGGAGAAGATGGTGGAAAAGAAGAAGGGGTTCTTCAAGTGGAAGATGTTTGGGGTGCCTTCTTTCAACAAAGGTGAGAAAACCGAACAAGAGGTTGAAGGGGAAGTTGGGTTTGGAAAGAACACACCTTCGGACATGAAAACTAGGTTGGTGAACGTCAAAGGTAAGTGGAGGAAATCAATGTCCTGAAAACACAATCACTGAAAGATAAGATAAGATGGTTTTTGTTTATTGTATTAGTAAAAAGGTTATTCTACTTACCATTTTTTCTGTCTATCTTTGTCTATCACTCTAAAACATCATTAGATTAGAATCTTAACTAACATTTATCTTTCTCTCTCTTCTTGAGATTCTGATCTAATGGTGTTGGAAGGTGGTAGGCAAAGGTAGGCAGAAAAAATGATAGGTAAAATAACCTATCCCATTGTATCAAGCAAATTATTGTAATAAGTTCGTTTTTTGGTGTTAGATTTGTATGCAATAATGTAAGGTCAACTCTTGTATTTTGGAATAAACTCAATAAGGATGATGTGAGATAATCACCTAGTAGAAGTTGAAATGTGATTGTAAACAAATAAATTTTAAAATTTTTGTTTGTTTAAGCATTATAAAGTAGAGTAATGTTTAAAGTGTAATTATTGAAATTTATTTTTGAATATTTTCTTGAATACATTTAGAATACCAGGATTTGTGTCTTTTTGCTCTTACATGATCCTCACTTTGTTCATTTATAACCTATGTGGGACTTTTACCACTTCTCACAGTTGAATATTTCTAACAAAGTCTAGGGAGCTACCAGTGTTTTTTCACAGCTCTGCAAAAGCTGTTTTGAAACCTTCCCATCTATCATTCAGTTTCTTCCGCTCAGACAGGGCATCAGCGTATGAGGATTCAGATTTCTCAATGGCCAACTTCAGCTCTTTGCTTTCAGTGACCCAATTCTTTGCTTCATCATTCAGCTTCTTCTTTTCACAATCAAATATTTCCAGGGTCTCCTTCAACTTGGTTCTTTTCAACTCAACAGTTTCCCTCTGTTCAACAAGAATTCGAATCTCTTCATCCAGCTTTTTAGCCTCTTTGTCGAGACCTTGGGTTTCAAACTTACATTTACTCATTTCTTCTTTCACTATATCCCTCCGTTTCTTACCATCTGTCCCTATCTGCTCAAGCTTTTTTCTTTTTTTCAAACGGACATTGTGATCTTCGACTACTTGTTGAGTCGAGGTAAAGTCATTGAACAGATCCTCAATAGAGGATGTCATGCTTCCAACAAGTTTCGCAACATGTGGAGAAACTTTTTCAATATCGGATCCTTGTTCTATGCATTGCAAAGATACACGTAATTGTTGTTGTAGTTCCATGTCCCCGAGAATGGACTCGAGCGAGTCTTGCATTAGGCATTCAAGATTATGCAAAGCTTCTCTTATAGCAACAACATCGGTTGTAGAAGAAGTGATTGCTTTTGCTGAGAACTTTCCACTCATTTCCAAGAGGATGGTATCAAGTTCAGCAAAGGGGTCCTCATCTGAGCTATCTTGACTTTCAGGTTTGTCAACATCCGTTGTTGGTTCATTCTCTTTTTCCTTAACAATCAAATGAACAATGTTTTGTCCTCCTTGTAGATTTTGATCATTTTCTACTTTTGGATGCTTGGCCTCTTCAATATTATCTTTCCAATAAGAGTTGTTTTCGCTTGACTTATCCTTAGAAGCATTTTCTTCCAAAAAATAAGAAGCACTTTCTTGGTCATCGAACACCACATGTAGATGCAATCCAGCAGCAGATTCAGTGTGCGTTACTTCAGTACCTTTGCTTTTGACCTACACAACGTAATAATTAATCATGTTGACAAAAGACATGCTTCAAATAATGTAATACATATATATATATCTATACGGGTTTGATTTTTTCATGTTGCATGAGAATTGAATTCTCATATTGTGACTCAACTAGTCATGGACCCCACATTTATTAAAAAAAGAAAAAGAAAAGAAAAGTTTTGCACGCAAATCGAAGGGTCGCAACATGAGAATTGAATTTTAATGCAACATGAGAAAATGTTTTTCCTATATATATATATATATATATATATATTATATTCTCATGTTGTGACTCAACTAGTCGTGGACCACACATTTATTAAAAAAAGAAAAGAATTGCTTTGCACGCAAATCGAAGGGTCGCAACATGAGAATTGAATTCTAATGCAACGTGAGAAAATGTTTTTCCTATATATATATATATATATCGGGCGCGATCCTTTGATATCGGTATCAAACTTTAAAATTTGACACTAAATTCTAGCCGTTGATTTCCGACAATCAACGGTTATAATTTTCAACAATCAATATCAGGTGAGATTACCAACCTCGATTAAGATTTATGATAGGATTACATGTTACCTTAAAAAACACAGGGAAATTAAGAATCAAATCCAAGTGATTTATGATAGGAATTCCAAGTATTTTAATATATTTTTTTATCATAGGAGATAAACAACAACCCATAAATAAATCGTTTCGAGGGTCGGAAGAATTAACAAATAATGTTTTGATAAAGTTTATATAATAAAGAAACAAATAAAATTTCTAAAATATCCTTCGTTAATTCTTTCAATTTCCAAAATGTCATAATTTTGGGGTTGTTGGAGAAATTTTTTTCCTTTTTTATTTATATATTTTGTAGTTTTATTTAAATTTTCAGGTGTTAACTTAAAAGAGTAGCATCACTTTAAGTGAGTGTTAATGGTGGAGCTTGAGAAGAAAATCTTATCTAAATCATATTTGAAAATTGATAAGTCTTAATTAGAGCCTTAATCAAGAGTTGAAGGAGTTAATTATATAGACCTATAATAACTCAACCTAAAAGGCATATTTATAAAATGAGTTGTCAACAATAGGGGTATTAAACTGAATTTTTAAGCATGACGGGTCAGCTCAAATAAATTGACAAAATGTATAGATTAGGCTAGCAACTTACAAATTTGGTAGATTCTATGGTATTCTCCATGAGACCTCTTCCTGCACTGGTCTTGGTTTCCTTGTGAGTGGATCCGAAGCTCCTTTCCACATCAAAAAAATGGTCTTTCCTCCCACTATCTTCTTCAACCGGCGCTGACTTTGTTTCTGTGACTAAACACAGAAGAAAAATCGTAAGTAGGAGAAACGTGTAAATTCAATAAAATAAAATAAAAAAGTAAACCCAAAATATAGATGCACATGTTTGGCGTGAAAAGACCTTAAACATTATTCGTTAATATAAAACATTACTCGTTAATATAAACTTTGTAAGACTTTTAGTAAAAAATTGTTAAGTAGATATATCCTTGGGATGAAAACCAAAAATGGTTGTATAATTTGTTAAGTTGTGGTTTGTGCACAAATAAAGTTCCTTACTTGACTTTTCTTCAGATTCATTTCCTTTGTCGGATTGTAACTTAGCAGGTTCATGCAATATAGCATTAGGTTTAGTTGATGGTCCTGTATTTCCTTCGTTTTTGACCTGCACAGCGTAATAATTGTATTGACAAAACGGCGTAGTTTAAAATAAAATATAATACTAAAATGCAACTACACAATACAGGAAAGGATATTGTAACAACCAATTAGTATTACTACCAATGTTACTACCAATCAATTTTGCCGTTAGATCGATTATGTTGATTTATTTCCATCTTTGTATGGTTATGATTTCTCATATTTAATATTTATTTTCACCTTTGTATGGTTATGATTTTCCATATTTAATACTTTCACATTAAATATGGAAAATCATAACCATACAAAGATGAAAATAAATATAACCGTTGGATCAACATAATCGATCTAACGGTGAAATTGATTGCTAATAACATTGATAATAACACTAATTGGTTGTTACAACATCTACCCCATGTTATATTTTGTATTTTTAAGATTGAATACAAAGTCTGTCGAAATAAAATTAAAGAACCCTTGACTTACAGCATTAGTAGACTCCGAGGTATCTTCCTTGCGAAACCTTCCAGCATCAAATTTGAAGCTGCCTTCCGCAACATAATAACGGTCTTTCCTCTCATCACCTTCTTCAGCCGAATCTGGTTCAACCACAGCCGAGTCTGAGTCTAATTCTGTGACCAAAGACAATAAAATTAATTTGTTGGTGAAAAGAATAGATTTGAGACTCGTTGGAGTAAAACCGAAAATATATGGTGATATAATTCGTTCAAAGGATGTACTCAATTCGTTGCATAACTGAGTAAGAATGAAAGGATTTGGGAATAATATGTTGATGATCCAAGTTTTGTGTCCTTTTAATGTTGCTATTATATTTTTCTTCCACTAGAGAAGAAAGAGAACATTACCAAAATAAACTTTTATAAAAATATACATTATACTTTTATTTATTTTGTTTTCAAGGTATCTTTCGACCGATAGTTGAAGACTAATCATTTCGAGGCAGGAGATCACACTAAATGGATAAACCTTTTCCAATAAAGCTTTTTCCATACACATGATCAGGGATCGAACCCTTGTCAGTATACTTAAAGAACCAAGGTATCTCCCAATATTGGGCTGGGAAAAATTGCAATTGATTTAATAAGGGAATAAGGAAAAGGGGAGAGATCCGTTTACCACCAATTAAGTTTATATTTTTTACTACTAAATCTTAATTGTTGATTTTCATCAATCTGACGATTATAATTTATTGAGAATTAATAATTAATTAATAAGTGTCATTTAATAAATTATAACCATCAAATTGACGAAAATCAACGGTTAAGACTTGATGATAAGAAATGATAAACTTAATTGGTAGTAAGTATATCCTCACTTAAGGAAAAATCAACTAAGCATAATAATATGGGAAATAATACTCTCATGCCACATGAGATACTCTCATTTTTCTACACAAATTCGTTTTCCGTGCCAAATAATTTTTCTTTTCTTTTTTAATATAAAATATGGGACCCACATTTAACTTCTCTCTACTTTTTTTCTCTCCTACAATCCTACAACATAAGAAAAGCTAAACCCTAATAATATATATGGAAATGAGTGAAAGAGAAGAATAAGTTGCATACCAATTATACCATCAGGTCTTTCAATTGATGTGAAGGTTATGCTATATCCTGATTCCAACTCCAATCCCTTCTGCAAGTCCATTTTCTTATAAGAATCCAAGTCCAGTTCCGGTAAAACACTGGGTAATTCTGACACACTTATGAGGTGTACCCGACACTCTTTAACACGGATGGAACCATCAACTTCCCCCTTATCATTTGCAACACAGAAGTCAAAACGAACCTTTTGTTCATTAGAATTAAGAATGCTGTCACAATGGAATGGATCATACCATACACAAACATGATCAGAGTCCAATTCTGTGATATCAATCTTTAGCCATGTAACCTTTGTACCTTCTGCCAAGGGGCATTCACATTTTAATTTAGTGCCATGTTTCTTCATTCCACAGAAAGGAGAAAGAACCACATAGTAAATGAAGCCCAACAAGTTGGAACGGTTAGGAATATTAATGGTAATTGAGGACTCTTCTGTTGTGTAATTGACCTGAATTGGGACTCCGCTTCCTGGTAAACAAACCTCAACACTGTTATAATTGAAGCTGAGGACGACCTCATGGGAATTTCTCACTATCACATTTTGAAATGCTGCACACATCATTGTTAAATGGAGGCTTTCCTCAATACATTTGAGTGAATGTCCATCCAATTTCAAGCTGTTCTTGAATGAAATGTGTTTAGCCTTTCCTAACATCTTTTTTGCCAAAGTCTTCAAATTTGACACGGACACCAATGACTTGCAGTCAACGACATATAGCTGTTTGATGTGGGGTGGAAGCTCTGGTAGGCACGGAAGCTCCCTGCAATTTTCCAAGGACAGAATTTCAAGCTCTTGAAGATCCTTGATGCTTTCAGGCAACTTTGTCACATTGCTTCCATCTAGCCTTAATTCCTGTAATGTTTTTGATAAGATACTGATGTTGTCAGGGAGTTCAAACAAGCAACTACACTCCTTCAAATGTAGTATTTGTAGAAACTGTAAGCCATCAAACAAATCATGTAGCTGCTGTTTGTCAATAACAAGTCCACTGTCAGAAAGCTTCAACTCCCTAAGACATTTCAGGCAAGATAACTCCTTTGGAAGATGCCCCAGTCTTAAACCATCTAGATAAAGCCATTTAAGATTCTTTAGAAGCCCAATTGATGTGTCCAATCTTTGGATTCCTGTATTGCTTAAATCCAAGTTTTCTAGTAATTCTGAAGACACTGCAAATTCCTCCAGGCTTGAGCAGCCAATGACACTGATCGTCTTTAGAGATTTTAAATGCTTCTTTCCTTTAACACTCTTAAGCCTTGTACACTTATCCAGTAACAAAGTAACAAATGTATCGGCCGATAAAACAGAATCATGAAGATCATACAAACTCTCACAACCGGAGAGATTCACCCATTTTAGTCTTGAAGCCTTAGACAAATCTGGAAGGTTTTCAAACTTTTTGCATTCACTTAGGTCGATTCCCTCCAAATTATCAAGTTCCTGTTACAATTTCAAAAATGACATCAAAATCGAAAATCTTCATGAAAAATTAAATAAATAAATAAGGTAAGTATATGTTCGAGATTTTGAAGGTACTAGTTCATTTTTTATAAAGTTTGACCGGGCTAAACTCCTGGCCAAACTTATTACCAGACTAATGCAGAGAGACATAACATCTCACATGTTGCGTCTAAATGTGATAGTATGCCTGACGCCTTTAGTGTTGACAAAAGATATGGCGCCTAACATGCCACGTCTAAACGTGGTAGTCAGTAGTCACACTACCACATTTAGTATGAGTTCACATGTGGTATGTAAAACTATGTTTATATTTGTCGTTACAATAAATGTGGTAGTGTGACTACCACGTTTAGACATGGCATTTCTGGTGCCATGTCTCTTGTCAACACTAACCGCGTCAGACATACTATCATATTTAGACGCGGCATGTCAGGTGCCACGTCTCTCTGCATCAGTCCGGTAATAAGTTTAACCAAGAACTTAACTGGTTAAAATTTTTGAAAAACGAATTAGTACGGTCAAAAAGCCCTTATGTACGTTTACATTTTTACCTGCGTCCCCTGCCAAAGTTGTTTAACATTACTGTGTGGCATGCGAATCTCAACAAGCAACTTAGCACAAAAAGGTGATGGAAGAGACTCAAATGGGTACCCCGTCCACTCAACATACCTCAGTTTGTCAGAAAATGGCTCAAGAACTGCAGGAAGGTCGATGTATGTATCACTAGAACAACTCTGACCTGAAGGAGTATATAATTTAAGAAATCTTAAGGATTCCATCTTTGTGAATGTGTCAGTAGGCAAACGAAAATCTTTAATTTGAGACAAATCTAATGTTATGCCTTGAATTGCATCAGTCCCCTGACAAAACACCAAAAGTAAAAACGGTATCAGATTAGCTACAATTTCTATATAAAAATCATGTCTTTGTCTTGTAAGAAGTATGTGTTTATTTTTATTTTTTTCTTACCTTGTTTTTCTCAATTACTTCACGAGCTTCATTGTCCCTCAATCGGCTACGTCTTCCAGGATTATTTTCATCTTCTCTACGTACTATTGCCAAACCCATTATTTGTAGCAAGTTATGCATTTGTATTCCATTGCCATTTGAAATAGTTATCAAAGCTTTGTCTTCAAGGACTTCTATTCCGCTACTTGCTTCGAAACCACATGCATCTAGAACTGATTGGACGTGATCTTTCTCTTCTCCTTGGAAAAAAAATGCTATGTCTCGAAAAATCTTCTTCTGTAGAGGATCTAATCCATCATCATAGCTGACTCTTAACAAGCCTTGAATTTTCTCATCAGGATAATTGTTGAGTTTTCTGAGAGTACTCTCCCAAAACTTAGTACTTTTGGAACGAAGATTTGAACCCAAAACATCAAGAGCTAATGGAACTCCCTCTGCATAAGCAACTGCCCTTTCTGAGAGAAACTCGAAACCAATTTGGGGTTTGCTTTGTTCGAAGGCTTTTGAGCAAAAAAACTCGAGAGATTCTGTATCTTCCCATTTCTTGACCTCATATATAAGATCAACTCTGTTTTCAAGAAATCTCCTGTCTCTTGTGGTTATAATGAGTCTACTATCGGGACTTAAGTAATGGTACTCTCTACACAAATATTCAATTAGAATTGAATTATCCACGTCATCAAGTACAATGAAAACTTTTTTACCACTGAGCCTCCTTAAATCAAATGAGTATCCTACAACATTAGGTGTCGAAATTTCTTCCTTGAATAGCTCAAAGTGAAGCTTACCAAGGGAATGTTCTTTTGCATTGGCCACCACAAAGCAGGTATTGTCATATTGAGGGAAGAGTTTGGCAAACAAGACTTTAGCAATGGTCGTCTTACCTACTCCGCCCATGCCCCAAATTCCAATTTTTTGTTTTTCTTTCATATATGATTCGACATCTATACAGTTTTTTTCAATTACAATGCCTTTTTGTTCTATAGGTTCCCTCAGGTCCAGCTTTTGAAGTACATCATTCACAATGATCTCGATGAGTTGAGTCTCATCCCTAGCATATGTGACAAAAGGAAATATTAATTAAATTAAATTTATCAGCAGCGAGAAAATTAATTTTAATGAATTTTTAGTATAAATTTTATACACATATTCTTTTTAGTAAATCTTATTAACATTTCATTATAAATTATCATATTTATTTGATTATAAAGGTTTTTTTATTTTATTTAAAGCTAAGGGAGAATGAGAAAAGATGATTGAAGGATCAAATACGTATCAGATAACTACATTCCCTTGATCACAAAGGGATATACCAGTTGAAGTACCTTCTACCAGCAGTAATCGTGTGTCAAAAAATTATTTGAGATAAAAACTATTTGAAAGACTATGTTTTTTTTATTTATTTTCATCTTCTCCTCCGATCAACAATTTTTTCTACAGAAATTTATGAATTAGAATTGACGAACAACCAATATCAATAATAGTTTTTATTGGTACCAAACCAAAAATGGGGTGTGGCCAAGCAGTAGTAAGGCAACGAGTTTTGGTCTCGCTATTCGGAGGTTCAAATTCTTCCATCCCAGAACATATCAATTCATGATGTGTATCTTATGTGAATACAAATTAAATATCAGAATAAAAATTCATGATTTGCATCTTACATGAATACAAATTAAATATCAGAATAAAAACTATCCCATCTCCCTTTTTTTTATTCTTATTATATTTTGATATTATAGTTTATTTCATATTTATTTCTCTCTTTTTTTAGATATGTATATGTTTCACATATATATATATATATATATATTTTAAGAGATTCTATTTTTTCTATTTTTCAAACTATCTAAATAGAATAGAAAATATATTCATACAACATCGAGTTAAATTTAATTTTGTTATACTTTTTTACTTTAGAAATTCTCCTATCATATAGAGGGGAAACCAAGTCTAAGTAAATAGATTCTTATGTATTAATTCAATCAATGACTATTCACGATTTAATAAATGAATCAATTATATACCGAATCCAAACTAAAGGAATAAATGTTATGGTAAAACTTCGTTTGAAATGATGCGATAAAAAGCAACGTGCACTTGAAAGACATGATTCAATATTTCCCCATATATATGTGTGTGTGGAAAAAAAACATTTCTACATCCACTTTAGATAAGGTTATCTACAGCTACCCCAAAAACTACGTCGTTTTGATTATTGAATGGTGTTTCTGTAATTTTAGGTGAACTAATGAAGGGTATTTCAGTAAAATGCATATGATAAAAAAAATAAACCAAATTATGGAAACACCCTTATTAATTCACCTAAAATTACATAAACACCCTTCATTAATCAAAACGACGTAGTTTTTGGGTAGCTGTAGATAACTTTATCTAAAGTGATTGCAGAAATGTTTACCCCTATATATATATATATGGAAAAATATTCTTACTACCAAAAATTTTCACTATCAACTTATTACTTATCTAATCATTGTTGGATCAGTACTACCAAAATTTTTCACTATCGACTTATTACCTATCTAATCACTGTTGGATCAATATTTTCTTTCTCTTTAGAAATTTTAAGCATTCTCTCTCTTTGATTTAATGATGATTAGATAGATAGTAAGTTAGTAGTAATAAAATTTGGTAATAAGAATATTCCCTTCATACTAATATATATATATGTAGAAAAAAGTATTTTTACAGCCACTTTAGATAACATTATCTACAGTTACCCCTTTTTAATTAAGTCCGACCAGTAAGACATGGTTATAAGAATAAAGCTGTTATTTTTCTCTCTCTCCTCAGACATTGTTGACTGACGTGGCGGAGAGAGAAAATGCAATTTTTTGTGTGGTCAGACTTAGTTAATAAGGGATAGTTGTAGACAATATTATCTAAAGTGGCTGTAGAAATATTTATCTCATATAATATATATATATATATATATATATATATATATAGGGTTCGTTTTTTCTGCAGTTACTGCAGATAAGTTATCTGCAGTAAGCCCAAAACGACGTCGTTTTGGGGCGAAAATTATGGTGTTTTTGTAATTTTAATTTATTTCAGGGTTATTATAGTCTTCATAATTATAATTTTTTAATCCCAAAACGACGTAGTTTTAAAAGTAAATGCAGATAACTTATCTGCATTAAATGCAGAAATATTTTTCAGATATATAAATATATATATATATATGAGTTAAATTAATCTCATGTTACATGAGATAATATGTCTCATGTTGTGAGATAAATTTAATGTAGGTCCCACTAAAAAATAAAAAATAAAATAATAATATTGGATCCAGTTTAATTTTGTGTCACTCACGTAAGATAAGCTATCTTCTACAACATGAAATTAGTTTAGCCCTATATATATATATATAGAGTCAAGATCATTTTACACTCTTAATCTTGTCTGTTAATCTCACTTATATCTAAAGGCTCAAATTTTTTAGTAATGTGAACCATTGGATACAAGCGGATCAATGGTCAAGATTGAGTGTAAGACTTCTAACTCTTACACCAATATAAGAATATCTTGCTCTCTCTCTATATATATATAATATATATATATATATATATATATATATATATATATATATATATGGAGAGAGATCATTTGACTCCAGAGTAAGACTTTTATAGTTTAGGAAGTTATATTAATTAATTATTAATTACACTATAAATGACAACCGTTGATTTTCGTCTATCAACGGCTTGAGATGGAGAGTAAGACTTATATATATATATATATATATATATATATATATATATATATATATATATATATATATATATATATGGATAGGATCAACTTACACCATAATTTTTCAGTACTACCATATATATATATATATATAGAGGAGAGATATTCTAACTACCAAAATTTTTTTACTACCTATCTAATCACCATTAGATTAACATTTTCTCTCTCTCTTCAAAAACTTTTTAACGTTAGAGACTCTTTGATCCATTTTCTCTCTCTTCAAAAACTTTTTAACATTAGAGACTCTTTGATCCAATGGTGATGTGATGAGTAGTAAGTTAGTAGTGAAAATTTCTGGTAGTTAGAATATCTTCATATATATATATATATATATATATATATATATATATATATATATATGTATATATATATGTTGGCTGCAAAAGTTAGAGAGAGAGAGAGAGAGTACTTGTGGTTTCGAGAGTCCCATCCAGATATATTGGCTGCTTCAGTGAGAGCTTTTCTCCACCTAAGTACTTTTTGTTTGTTGGATTTGCTGTCTCTTGTTAGGGATGAAAGTGATGCTGATCTTGATGTTGATCTTGTTAATTTGCTGCCTTTGTCCCCAGAATCTCGCTCATGTTTGGCGAATGCTTTCTCGTAACTACCCTTCTGATGCCTTACGTGTGATGGATTTGTTTTATAGAAAACAGGTATGACAACTTGACCATGATCTTTTCTGCATTCGAGTATTTTGTAGAGTTCTTCCAAGCACCATTTAGAGGTTGCATAATTTTCTGAGAAAATAACAACCGATATATGCGAGTCCTTCATTGCCCGGATAAGTGCTGGCCAAACATCTTTTCCTCTAGGAATATCATAATCTATGAATGTTCTGATTGGTTTGGCTTTATTCAGAGCATTGTGAAGATGGCTAACGAAGGTGGTGCGTATGTCCTCTCCTCTAAAGCTAAGAAATACGTCATGCTTTTTGGTAGAGGAAGACATACCCTCATTCATTATTCATGGCGAGTGCAAAGAATGAACCTGATCTTCTTCTTTTATGGGCTTGTAGTCGTCGTCGACCGAAATTTCTACACGTATTTCTTAGTCATTGTTATATATTGGTGTGAAATTTTACACTTACTGTTTGTTATTAATCCACTTGATCCATACTACACGTATTTCTTAGTCATTTTTATATTGGTGTGAAATTTTACACTTATTGTTAGTTATTAATCCACTTGATCCATATATATATATAAAAGGACTATATTTACAGCTATTTTTCTCTTAAAATCTCTTATAACTATTTTTATTATTATTAGAGGTGTAAATAAGCTAGACTTTGATTTAAATAGGCCAGGTCTGTGTAAAAAATATTGGGTCTGACCTAACCTGTTACCTTGTGTAGGCCTCAAATTATAAGTTTAGCTTGACCTATATATAAAAAATAAAAGTCTTGGCCTAGGCCTGATAACCTGTTTAAGTCTATTAAACATTCAACAATTAAAAGAATAACTAAAATAATATTACTTTATTATTCAAAATGATTAAAATAATAATTTCATTTATTTTATTTAAAATAAATAATAGGATATAGGTCAGCCAAAATATATATATTAAAATTCTCTTATAGCAATAACAATGACAAGTGTAAGAATAAATTTTGAAGATAATTATACGTATGGAATTAAATTAAAAACTTTTTGTATAAAAATGAAACTAAAAATATATATGTAATATTTATAAATATATATGTAATATTTATAAATAAAAATATTGACACAAATTTTCAAAATCATTTGAAATTTTAACATAAAAAATCATTGATGAAAAAAGCTATGCCTTTTTTATTTTGAATGAGAAGACTTGGTCCTTGCTGTTAAGAATGGTATTGGGAAGCCTAAAATCCTTACAAGGATTCTTCTATTAATGAGTTAAATGATAAATCACAATGAGTGGATTGACATCACATCTCAACCAAAAATTTTAGGGAAAAATGTTTCTGCACTACTGCAGATAAGTTATCTGCGTTTATTCCCAAAACGACGTCGTTTTGGTACTTGAAATCTTAAAAAATTATAAATATAAAGACTATTATAACCCTGAAATAAATTAAAATTACAAAAACACCATGATTTTCGCCCCAAAACGACATCGTATTGGGCTTACTGCAGATAACTTATCTGCAATAACTGCAGAAAAAACGAACCCAAAATCTTAAGACTCAAGTTGTATAAGAGTCTTTTTTGCACTTATATTTCAACATTTTCCTCTCAAGTGTGAGATCCAAAACCCGTACAAGGATTTTTACGCTAATAGGCCAAATAATAAACTACAATAAGTGAGCTAATACCACATCTCAATCAAAAATCTTAAAGCTCAAGTTGTATGGTCTTTTTTGCACTTATATGACCCTCACTTGGTTCAAGTCTAACCGGTGTGAGATTTCTTTACAACTCACACTTGATTATTTCCAACACTTGCCTCTACCAATTTCTAAATTTTTTATTTTGTTTTGTCCCCTTCCTCCCGTCATTTTAGCATTCATATATCTGCTAAATTTCATTTTGGTTTCATAGATAACATAATTGGTGATTTGGATAATAGGCTGAATACATTCATAATCTTATACGGGGAGTTAAAAATCCTTACAGGGGATTCCTTCACATCATATATTGCCCCTAAGGCGACTATTTCAGAAGTCTTTTTCTTTAAATTTTTAAGTCACGTTACCTTTTTTATGAAGGCCTCTTGAAGTGCATTGTCATTTTCAAATTGATGACTCTTATATACCACTGTTAAAATAGTAGAGGGAGCCCAAATCATAACTACACCAATGAATTAAATGATAAACCACAATAATGAATTAATATTACATTTTTTTTTGGTACATATTAATATTACATTTTAACTCAAAATTTTAAGGTTATAAATTTAAAAAAAAAATTACATTATATGATTCTCACTTAATTTATTCTAACAAATATAAAAATTCAATTCACATCATTCACACTGAATATTTTCAACCGGAATATAGTATGGAGTCAATTCAAAAAATTAAATATTGAGTTAAGATCTTTTATTTCAATGTATCCACTTTGTTAATTAACAATTGAGACTTGTCATTTACAATTAAATTGCCAAAGGTTATCAAATGATAATAGTTGAGTTGACACTAAGAAATTGAGGAGACGGGGAGAGTATGTATTCAATTCTCTTCGGTATTATTTTTAAAAAAAAATTAAATTTTTAATTCTGAAATCCACTTCAAATTAAACTAGTCACGAAACAAAGAATCAATTGAAATATAAAAAAAAAGTTGCCAACAACCAGCCGAATTTGGAGCCCGTTTGTTTGCACTTTTGAAAAAAGTAACTTTTATCTCTTCCTTATTTTAGAAGTCATTTTTACAAAAGTTAGAGTTATTTATATTTTTATAAAAATATTTAGATTTTGAAAAAATATTTGATTTTTGACTTCTGCTTTTTTCAGAAGTTAAAATTTTTAGCTTCAGAAAAAGTAGGTTTTTGACTTTTTTTATGACTTCTGCTTTTTTTAAAAGCAGACATACAAACAAACTAAAAATGAAAAGTGCTTTTTTTCAACAAAACAAAACAACTTCGAGAGAAAAAAAATTCATCCAAACATATCCTTGATGTGTTAGTTAGCCTGACGTGACTCATTTTACCATCTCAAGGTAGGTGTCATTTTACGATTTTGTTGATGTGTGAAAAGATGGTAGGTGTGAAGAAATAGGATAGCTACAGCCTACATGAAATGTTCAATAATTTACTAAGCCCAAGATTCCTGCAAAATTAATAAAATATTATTCCTCCTAACGGTTGCTTAATTTTGTGGACTTGCTATGATATTAGTTTATGCCGGAATATTTCTGATGGCTAGCAATTTTTATTTTTATTTTTGCTAAATGAAATCTAACAACTTGATTTATTCTAATAACTAATTTAGAAAAAATTAGTGATTTGTTAAGCACATCTCTAGTAATTTAGCTCCAATGGCCTGGCCTGGATCTGTATGTTTGTACAATATCATTTTATTTTATTTTTTGGAAAGTCAGTACAATAACATTATAATTTGCAGAGTACTTAGATCATATGCAAGAGCAAATATTTTCATACAGCAGACAGATAACAAAACTGCGGAAGATAAGAAGGAAAAGGTTTAAGACACAAATTTTGAGTATAAAATGATTAATGATAATAAAATAAGGATACTATGTTTCTTATATTACATTTCTTTCTTCTGTGTTGCAACTGTTTTAGAAATCTCTGTTAGCAATGATGTGCAGTTATCTACATATAGCTGTAAACTCTACGGGAGAAATGTGTATTATTTTAAAGGATGTAAATTTGTGTTATTTTAAATGAGAGAAAAAATAGATAAAGGAGAAGAGAGTGGATAAAAAAATAATAAAAGTGTGAGTCTCACCTTATAAGAGAAAAATGATATAAATTATGTCATTTAAAATGACAAACACTTTTCTGACAGTTATATCAATCTTTGGATTATACTGACGCTTCATTAATTAATATAACATAAAATAATAATTCAAATCTTACTCAAGTATTAAATGCACAATATCACATTCTAAAACGATGCTTCTAACACCAAACATAACACCTCCCGTCACAATATGATCCTGGTTACTGAGATTCATCATGCTCGCCACATCAGCACCCACTATATAAGACACCTCACAAGCAGATGCAATAGAGGTATTGTTAGGCGTAAAAAGTTGATTAGTAAGCGTTTTGATATGAAGGATTTGGGGAAGTTAATTATATTTTAGGTATAAAACTCATACAAGACCAAAGAATAAGTTATTAGCATTACCTTAAGTTACTTATGTTGACAAAAACTCATGCCAAATTCAACATGGGGAATTATATACATCAGATATGGAATTTATCTTTCTAAGGAGTAATCTTTAAAGACTCTTGAGCATATGAAGAATGTATGAACATAATACCTTATGCTTCAGCAATAGGTAGTCTCATATACATCATGTTGTGCACCAAATCAAACATTTATCACACAGTGGGGGTAGTGAGCTAGTACTAATCGGATCCCAAAGGAAAACTAGATAATTGTTAAGCATGTGCTCAAGTATCTTCGGAGAATAAGAGATTATATGCTAGTATATTCTGGTAGATGTCTTGAAAATATTATATTACACAGACTCAACTTTTCAAGTGGATATTAATTCAAGAAAATCGACATCAAATTATGAGGTTTACACTAAACCAAGATAGTATAAGAGTCGAACCTTGCACACCCTTTTACCAAGAGTTTTACTGAACTTGTGTTCGAGAGGCATGTTACTTGATTGTGCTCTTAGAGTAAGACAATGTAACAATATAATCTTTTTCTAAATTTTACAAATGATATATTATTTGTTATTTTTGTGCATACAATTTACAAATATTAAGGTCCAGATCAATTGTGAAATATATAATTATTTGGATACGGTCATGGATAACATGATCATAAATTCTCACAATTGATGAACAGATTCATAACTGTTAAATAAAGTTGGGCGCTCTACAATATTTTGTCAATTGGTTTGTGCAAATCATTATAAAATATTGGTGTGAATTAATATTCACATTAAAAGGATCAAGGAGAGATTTGATTAAGAATGTATTTCTGTTATAAGGTATCGAATTTTCAATTAACAATAGTTATGTCATTGCTCTTAATCCTGAGTTTATTATCAATTGGTAATTAAATAGTTTTCGTTCTTTGATTTACCAACAGGCGAGGTCTGATCTATTGATGACTAATAACTAGGTATTTTGGGAGTAAGATTATTTGATTATTGGTATTTATTGTAACGCCCGGCCGCTTCAAGAATCAACGACTATCCCCACATACTAACACAAGACTTTTCAGTGTGCTTTTTCCTCACTTGCACACTTCCCGAGAAAACTTCCCAGGAAGTCACCCATCCCAAAATTACTCCGAGTCAAGCACGCTTAACT